CCCTGCCTCTTATACTATTCTAGCCACTCTGGCTTCCCCTCTCTCTTGAATGTGCTGGGCCTTCTTCTGACTCTGGGTCTTTGCATTAGTGGTTTCCTCCACCTGGAACACTCTTCCCCCAGATATCTGCATGGCCCACTTCCACACCTCCTTCGGTTTCTCTCCACCAGAGTGCGAACTCTCTGAGGGCAGGGGTTTTTTTGTTCTCTTTTTCTTTTTTCACTATTACTATACCACTGCCCAGAACAATGCCTGCCACATAGTGGGTGATTTTATTTGCTGAAAGGAGGAAGCAAAGAAGTAAGGAAGGAATCAGGAGGAGGGGGGCTTGGAGCTAAATTAATACTCATGGATATGAAGACTCGGCCATAGAAACTATGGCCACTAGTTCTGCCCAGATCATTAGACTCCACACCTGAGAAGGGCTCTGAACTTGACATTTTTTCTGGTAATTTCCTGTTGATGTTTTTCTAACCTCTACAATTATGCTTTCATTTCTTTCCTCTTGCCTAGGAAAAGTTCCTTTGCTGTAGTTCTGATTGACTCCCACCTGGCATGGAAGGAGTGTGACAAATGACATATAATATATATTGCCTTAACTTTCTGTTGCTCTTTGTAGAAGCTAGATTGTTTCTCTGGAAAGCCCCCTTGAGCCCTGTCACTGCAGTGGGTGCTGCTTGGCTGAGCACTCCCCAGCATCTGCTGTTTGTCTGCTGTTTACTCGGTAGGCCGTTCTGACCGCCCTTTACCTGAGGCTGCCTCTCATCCTCTTTTGGGCCTTTATGTTCCTCTTCTTGGTTTCTCTTTTGGATTGCGCGTTGCTTCAAATAAAATCACTAACAACATATGGCCTGTTATGATTCTCTTTTCCCAAACTCTGCCATTTTGTATATTTGTGACACACTGCAGATTTTGTGAAGATTGCTTCATAATATTTGTTTACCATCTGCTGCACTCTATTTGGTATCTTGCTAGGATTTTTTCCTCCATTTTAAGTGACATTAACAAAATCCAGCCAGTACATAGACTTTCTGGTTCTACTTTTGCTTTCCTAATGTGCTGGAAAATCATATTACTGTGCTCCAGGCAACTAGAGAAGCCTGGAATTCTCATTGTGAATGAGTGTATCAGATCTATTTCCCCCCTTTTTCTTGGTCATATCCAGTAATGCTTTTTTGGTCAGATGGCAAAGAACCTCCATGCATAAGACAGAAAGAGTTCAGATTATTTTTCTACTTCTTTCCACTTAGTACTGCTACTTTCTAGTGTTCTTCACCAACGTATTTATACATTTGAAAGTCTTTGTGCCATTTCAGTAAAGTTTTATGATTTATAGTTCTAGTAGTATAATTTTTATAGCCAATCCAGTGTTATACGCAAATAGCCAGAGTCTTTGCTAGATGGTCTGTATATGTCCAACATTTTGTTCAGAAAAGTGTTTTAGGTTACTCTCATACCTCATCACCTGGTATGTATTTGTGCTTTCTTACCCTTTACTGACTTCTCACAGCTGTTATTCATTGTCTTTAAAGAGAAGTGCATTCACACTTTAAATGTTAGGATGAATGGTTTGCTCTTGGGCTGTCATCAAGGGGTCAGAGATAGCTTAGATTTTGCCTTGTGGCCAGAACCACCACTCATCTCTTGGGTGTGGTTAATTTTCCAACTCAGTCTCCTCTTTGACAAGAACAAGGAGTCTTTATTAAAACAACTAAGCACAGATATTAAAGAGACAGTTCTCCAAAGAGCGTTTTGTAAAGAAAACCAATACCTACATAAAATTGAGTCTCCTATTAAACTATAAGAACTATTAATCAGTGTGTAATATAAGCCTGATTTTATCCCCAGGCTTTATTAGAATGCCTCTTCTAACTTATCTGAAATCGTCCTGTCAGAGTCAGTCCATATGAGATAGCTCCAGCATAACATTAGGTCAAAAGCTATCCTAGCCTTTTGGTATCAGATTTCTGTCCACTTAAAACAAGTGCTAAGGAAAAAAAAAAAAGTGCTTTTGTAGTGTTTCACAGCTGCTTTTCTATTGAATATCTTGCTCTGTAAGAAATTATTCTGAGCTAACTTCTCTCAGTTCCCCCCCCCCCGAAATAATCCCTCAAGAGATGTCATAGAAGTCTAGAATTCCAAAATATTTTAAGTAGCCTTACAGGTTCAAGGCCTGGCTTTGAGAACTTAAAGAACTCTCTCTCTTTCTCTCTCTCTCTCTTCTTGAGAGAGATTGAGATTTAAATTATCTTTCTGGAATCTTTGCCCACTCTTTAGAAATTATGAGAAGGGTTTTCACTAGTTTTTACTAAATTCTAAGCACCTCCCCATCCCATGTGAACAATACCTTATTGAGGTCTTGTGTATATTGAAATTTGAATATAAGCAGTCTATTTGTAACCATCATCTCTATAGCTAGCTTTGCAGTAGAAATGAGATTTATAAAAAACTACTTTGTTTAGGCTGTAAGTTGCTTTTTAACCAAGTTCGGGAATTCATCAAGAACAAATCATTTTAGCCTACGTATAAACAGAATTTGACCTGGTTTTAAAGCAGAGATGTGACGTGCTTTCATGTGTGGTAATATGTAACATGATATATACTTTTATATTATGTCTGTTTTTTCCTCTCTGTCTCCTGCATTTTTAAGAACACTTTTTACTTATCCTTGAAAATTTTAGTTTCCAAAAACTGTATAGAAACTCCCTTCTTCTGTTTCTACAACTGGAATGGCATTTCTTCCTCAGTTTGACCCTAGAGAGTCTGTACCTAAAACAAAAGAAAGAAGTGCTACATTCCTGTATTGTTCTTTATGTGTGTAACATCTCTCAGGAATGTGCTTTCTTTGTTACTGAAAGCAACCAGTGTGTTCCTTTTACAGTAAACAGGCAACTCTTTGTAGCATAATACCAGTAGTGACTCTTGACAGCTCCTAGCTCTTTAGATAGTGTGACTTGACCATATTGATTCTCATTGAGTTGGGGAACACTGCGGGAATGAACCAGGATCCAGGATCTGGAAACAAATGCTTTGGAAAGAAAACCTGGGTGAGAGCTGTTGGCTTGGTCACTGAGCAGGGTTGGCCTAAATGCTGTCAAATTGTTGTTGGCTACTGAGGAGAAAAAGGAAGTAGCCTTTTGCTTGGAAATAGGCTAATTGGAAAAGAGCATAAGCTCCCTCCTAGGGTCTTCATAGCCTGGTCACTGCACAGGGGTATATCTTCAGAACTGCAGCTGGACAGGAGGAGGGACTGCCGATGTGTGGTGGGGGAAGATCCATGTGCTGTCCCCAGAGCATGTCGTGCAAGCTCATTCTCTTCATGATGAGAGATTTGTCTGGTCCTCCAGGCCTGGGATCAAAGCATTCCCTGCATCTTATTAAATCAGCAATTACATGCCCAAGAGTGAACCAAAAAATAATAATAATGATTGTTTAACAAGTGTTCCAGAGCCGGGGCATCCTACCAAGAGGATGGGAGACTGGGTACATTGCTCCAGACATTTTTGGTGTTTTCTTTCAACTATGCATTTAGAATCTACCACAGAGGCTGTTCTCACTGTTGACAAATCTTTATCTTTAGAAGGATGAAGTAGCTAGCTAAATATTTAGAAATAGCTAGAAGTCATTCTGAGGCCTGCCTGGCAGATGGTGTGGGTGAGTGATCAGGTGGACAATTCCATTTGGTGTTAAAAGTGAAGTCTGATATTCTTATGTGATCTTTCAGATTCTTAAAGCAGTTTTGAAGACATATTTTAAAACTACTTTGAATAAGAGAAGTATCATTGAAATAAATATATTGTTTCTGGATTGGCTTCTTTGATGATACCTATTCAAAGGTACACATTCTGGCTATGTGTTTTATGAAGTCTTATTATCCTTTAGTCTTATGACTACTAAATTATTTGAAAATAGCACAATTTGAAGTCAGAGAGTACCCAATACAAATGAAACTGTTCAGAAAGAGAGAGATGCTAAATGGAATAGGATACAGGGAGACCCATGTTAGAGTTTCTTAGCAAGTTATCCTTGCTCTAGGCCTTAGGTTCTTCTGTGAAAAGGGGATAATGATAACAATCCTATGATGTGGACATCATTATTATGAGGTTTTTAAGGAAGCACAGTCATAGTACCTTGTGTTGAGTGCTCAGTAAATGTTACCCATTTTTATCATTCTACAGTGATATGATAGGTTGCCTGGATGAGAGGAAGAATGGAGAAATAGAGAGATAGGGTGTAGTTTGGGAAATAAAAGTACTGATAGTAGAACAAGACTGGCTTCTCTTTGGTTTTTAAAGTTCTCCAAACCAAACCTGTTTTGTCATACTCCAGTTATATTTACTTTAACCTAGATATATGTCATGAATGACATGAGTAATATTTTACTTTTCAGTTGTCCCTAAAAGAAAGTTTTAGTTCTTTATTGAGATTCTGATTGGATTACAAACAAAAAACCAAACAACAAACTAATAATCCCAGCATCCCTCAAAAATATGTGAAAGAAAGTGGGCCGAGATGCCGGGTACCATCCAAGCTTTATTAAAGGAAAAGAATCTGCTAAGCTGTGCTCAAAGTGGCAGGCAGCCCGGGGCTGCCTTCAAAATGGAAGACAGCACCAGGTGTGGGGGTGGTAGAGCTTATATAGTGCACCAAGGGCTGGCTGATACCATCAAGGAGGGTCATTATGCTAATGTGGAAACTATGTGACCAGAGTGGAACTGTGCCCTTGGAGAAGTGAAAGTGTTTCTGTTTAAGTCAGGAGGCTTCTTGTAAAGGGAAGAGGTGAGGGGTTTGGTACTGGAGTGGAAGACAAGGCCGGCGGCTATTTTGTGCTTATTGTGTGCACAATGGCGCCAGTCACATCCAAGATCTATCAATATGGTGTTGAGGGTTTGGATATCAAGTTGTAAAAAAACAGTACTATTATGTTCCTACCCAGCATGGTTTTTGTACATTAAAAAAATGTAAATCTTACCACTTGCATTATGTTGCTTTTTAAACAGACGAAGATGAAGATGGTGATCGAATTACAGTGAGAAGTGATGAAGAAATGAAGGCAATGCTGTCATATGTAAGTATATTACAAATGAGGACTGTTTTAAAAAATGTTAATGTAATAGAGTATGCTGTTTCTTGGGTGTAGTGAAGATATGTAAGAAAATCACAGTCACCATGACATTTTTCTATATACTTTAATAGGTAAGGTTTTCCAAGATTTCCTTACATGAAAGTTAAGGGCATTCTTTTCAAAAGACACTTACTGATCATATCATGAACATTAAGAATAATGCATCTTAATGACTTTTGCATTAGGTATAGTGCAGACTAAATGGACTATCAATTTCCTGTATTTTTTATGCAGTACTTAAAGTAACGGCTCATTAAAAATGAACCCGTTGGGCTCTAAAATATTTTTCAAAATCTACTTTCAACTGGAGATCTTTTTCATCCTTCCAGACTATAGTTATATGTAGCTGCAAGCTTAATACTAATATAGATACACAATTTAAAGATGTATTCTCAGTTATTTATGTACTACGCATACTCCTACCTCCTTCCCAAGATGAAATACAGGGTTACTTACTGAATTAAAATGATTTGAATATATCCTGAAATGATTTTTCTTTTGTGTTTCAAATTTCAGTAAAAATTTGTGTTAACATTTGTTTGGGGCTGAAGTAGAGAAACAACAAAAAAAAAAAGGTACATTTCTAAAGCTTAATACTAAGCTTGAAAAATTCAACTACAATGGGGAGGCATAGCTTCCCTGAGCCCTTATTTGAACGTTCCTCTGAAGTTTTATCTTATTTTATCTGAGTTTATAATCAGTTTTCAAACCTTTTCTAGTAGTCAGTGGAAAGAGCATCTTACTGGAAGTCAGAAGACCACAGCTCTACTCTGGTTTCCTAGCCTTAGGCACATCACTTAACTGTAGTTGCCTCATCTGTCAATTGTGGATAATAATACTTGTCCTTTCTACTGCACAGGGTCATTGTAATGACCTAGTGGGATAATAGATGTGAAAGTTAGAAGTTCTATACAAATGCAAAGTGGTATAATTGTGGAAATGATGGAATCAGGGCCCTTGCTTTTCATGGAGACTCTAATCTTAGCCAACAGTTAGGTTGTAGGTTTTTGATAGACTTCAACTTCAAGGATATTGTTTCATTGTAATGAAAACTGTAAACTATCTGTGTGGATTTCCGCCAATAGTTTTAATTTAGGGTAGGAGGAAAGAGAACAAGAAGGATGGCATGATTAACAGAGCATTGCATTCCAACCAGCACAGAATAGGAAAAATCAATTTCCCATTGACTTCCCATTAACTTATGTGGGAGTCTTTGTGTACTGAGAATTTAGAGCTGGGCTCATCAGTACCTTGAAAGGCAGAGGAGGATTGTCTGCTGAAAGGTCTAGCACTAGTATTGATAGATTGGCTAACTCTCCTGAGAATGTGACATGCTTATTTTAGAAAAGACGCACACACAGGTGGATTTTAGTTTTCTCACATATGTCCATTACAGAGAATTGACTTCAATATACTTTCATTATGTATTCAACATAATCACACTCAAAAGGTATGTACTTTTGGGAAGAGCTTACAAATTGTCCTTTTTGAGAAATGTTACTGGGTATGATCATAGTCATAATAATAATTATTTCCATTTATAAGTGCCTGCTATATACTAAATGCTTGAGATATTTTTTCAGGTATGTACTTTTGGGAAGAGCTTACAAATTGTCCTTTTTGAGAAATGTTACTGGGTATGACCATAGTCATAATAATAATTATTTCCATTTATAAGTGCCTGCTATATACTAAATGCTTGAGATATTTTTTCTTTTTTTTTTTTTAAGTTTTAATATTAGTCTGTGAGATGGATATGTCATTTCTGTTTTTTAGATGAGGAAACTATGGTTAAGAGACATGCCCAAGGTCTTAGTGCTAGTATGAATGTGAATATGGAATTTAAGTTCACCTTCTTCTTATGCCAAAGCCCATGCTTATTCACTGTTTTACATTGTCTTTCCCCCATCTACCTTCTTGCAAATTTGTATTGGGATATTTTTGTGTCATCACCATTATTAAATTCTGAATGATTTGTGTTTACACAATACCTTAGTGTGATATCTGTACCATGTATTCCTTACAATTTATGCTTATTTTTTCAGATTCAGTGTTCATTTTTGTACTGTAGGAAAATATTGGAGTCCTGGTTATATAACCTTACATTACATGTTCTTAATTTAAAAGTTTCCAAGATTTTTTCGGAGCCACTTTTTAGTAAGAAAACAGATGATCATCTAGCACATTGATCCTCAAATGTTTGGATTTCATGAGCTAATCAATTTTCCATTTTTTGGTTGAGGGACAGACATAGGCATGGCAACTTTAAATTTTGCCAAATAGAAAAATTGATAATTTTTATTAGTTTACTTTTTTTAACCTATCATCATTATTTTAATAACAAAGAAATGTGGGAGTTATTTAAGGAGTAAGACAGTGGGCAGGACATAATCTCTAAAGTAAAGACAACCATTTATTTAAAGTGAGTAAATTTAGTTTTATGTAAAACTACCACATTTTTCTTGTTTTTTCTGAGTTTGCTATGGATGAATTATAATGTTTCTTGGATCAGCATTGATCCATGGATTTTGGTCTGGCTGATCAGGTCTAGGTTTCTCATTAATTCACCTAGCAAATTTTAACATACTTAAGGTAGAACTTCACTTTTCTTTTCTTTTCTTTGGTTTTTTTGGGGGTTTTTTTGGCAGCTGGCCAGCACAGAGATCCAAACCCTTGACTTTGGTGTTATCAGCACCACACTTTAATCAACCAAGATAAGTTAATTAACAACACAGGTTAAGTGAATAAACAACATAGACCTGAGCCTGAGCTCTACTTTTCTGATACTGTTTCAGCAAAATATTTTGAAATGAAAGTATCTCTGTGAAAGAGAACAAGTTCTAAGTCATTTAAAACTTAAATAGATTTCCATTTTCTCCTATCTCTTGCTGTCACCACTACCATCATTTACCCTTTGTTAACTTTCAGTTAACACTTAAAAGGTAAAGAGAAGGGGAGTCTTTCAAAGAAAGCACAAACTACATTGGTTGGTTGTCATTTTGATCTATCTTGGTTCTTATGGTTGAAATTATTTGGGTTCCAGTTTTGCCCTGAAGAAAATTATGTGGACCTAATCTCACAATAGACTTTGGTCAATAGTACTCATAATTAGCAGCCTATTATTAAAAATTTGCGTTGTCTTTAATTTTTAGGTTCAATTTGGCTCTGAAGTTTGATTCTAGGATTTGCTATAGTGGCATAGGGAAGATACTAACAGATGATCACATTTTTATTTTTGGAAAAAAATGTGATGACCTCATTTTTATTGTTGGGAGAAAAAGTGTAGTTCTTCATATGGAATTCAATAAATTTGTGGTCACTTTAGTATTTCTTTAAAAGCCACATGCATGGGGAAAAGTAAAAGTAGAGACACTTTTGCCTTTAGTCCTTTAGTCATTCTTTTCTATGGATTACAAAGGTTAAGTGAATAAACAACATAGATCTGCATAAGAATATAAAAAATTTGCAACGTCTGAGCTGAAACTTGCAGAATTACTTTTTTCCCCCTTGAATGTAAGCATTTTCTGGCTTTGGGCCAACACAAATGTAAGTTTTTATCAGTAATCTAAATAGATTTTTGTATTAGACTTGAAAATGTTTCCTTTTTAATTGAAAACTTATCAATTATTTAAATAGCTGGCAGCCTGAGGCTGTTAATTTTATGAGTACCATAATAATGGCATGCAGTGGTTTTTGATACATGTGACACACAGAATACCATGTTGTGGTAAGGATTTGTCATGACAATAGGTTGTTGTGTGCTGTTAAATAATAACCAACATATTAAACCAGAGTCTGTTGTCACATATTAGTACTATTTTATGTAAGTTATTTAGAAGTTGTATTCTTTTCTTCATTAGATATATTTTTAAGAGATAATGAGAAGAAAACAAAGCTATAATAAATTGTCTTTTAAGAAAATGTAAAGTAATTTGGTCTCCAAGGAGATATTTAATGTATTGAAAGAATTCAGCAGCCAAATGTTATTACAGCACCATTGTGATAGCTCTCTGCGTTTTGTTATGAGTTTGTGTTAATCAACAATCTGTTTTTATAGCATAGTTTCTTGTAAGTTATGTTGTTAGAATATTCCACTTCTGGGATCAAGGCTTTTCCTCTGACACTATTGTATCTTTTTAATTCTTCCATAAAGTATTTTTTTAATTAGAATTTGAAATGCTTTATTAGGAAAAAAAAATACACACAACCTACATATTCTGAAAACTAAATACCTGATCGTTGCTAATTATTTAAAGGACCCTGTTAAATATTCCCTTAATGTAGTTTAAATTGTTGTTGTTATTGTTCTTGCTTTCCCCTCTCATTTCCTAGAAAGAAAATATTATGCTGCTTTTCTCCTTCCATCTTTTTGTACTTGTTGTTTGGTAGTGCCATTGAGGCCCAGTTCTAGGAAGGGATTATTTTAATTTAACCTCTTCTTTTGGGTGATCTTTATTAAGAAACTCAGCAGTACCTCTTGCTTTCGTAAATGGATTCATATTTATTTCATCTAAATCCTGTATCTAGTAAAAGATTTTTTATGCCTGGTTCTCTTGATATTGAGAGGCTTGTATGAGTAGAGCACAGTGTTTATAAGAATAATTTCCATTATTTTGCTCATTCTCTGTCTTTGTATCATTTTCCACATTGCTGTAAGAGTATGGGATGAGTTTTACTGTAATGCTTCCTATTATGGCAGAGCCCTTGTGTTTTAGTGGAGTCTAAGTATTCCCTTTGGTATACTTGACCACTGTGTACCTTGTTAGATGTTGGGTACCAGGAGGGAAAATACTTTTTGACTTCTAGAGCACCTTGTAAATTGGGGTATGATTAGCTTTATCTTAGTATGCATAACTTGGAGATTGCCTCTAAAATCATGCAGTTACTCAAGCAGAACTGAATGGGAGCCTTAGATCTTAAGAACATGGAGGCCCAGTGAGATC